TTATGTCTGTTTAATAGGATTAAAGATAAAGTATTGTCACATGAAATGAAGCAACTTACATTGAAAGAAATGTTTAATAAAGTAAACAAATAAATATTAAGCTTTTTCTTTTTGTAAATTTTGATACCCTTTAGATCATAATTGTTCTTTATTTCACAAATTATGGTTTCATGTTTTTAATTTTGTAATTTCTGCATGCCATCTTACCAGATTTAAACTGATGATCTATAATCCGGAATCGCTGAAGTCCCGACGAGTTCAGATTAACGACTTTTGACTGTATTAAACAAATCAAATTGAACTGTCGAGCTTTTCAGCATCGTTGGCGGCGTGTATATATTATGATTATCGGACTTCAAAATTACTCAAAAAAAAAAAAAAAAAAAAAAAAAAAAAAAAAATCTGATACTTTATAAATTTCATTAAAAAAATTGACTTTGTTTTGTAAATGGCAAAAAAATCTTTTTTCACCTTTTTTTTTTTTTTTTTTTTTTTTTGTTGTTGTTGTTTAGTTTTGAATTCAGTTTTTAAATAAATTCACATTTAAAATTCATTTTTGAGAAATAAACAGCGATAAAACTTGAGGCTGAATTCAGAAACAAACATTAAATATTAAAATATTTGTACCCTCTTTTTTTTATACACTTCATGTAGTAAAAATAAGTAATCAATCCTGCTCTTGCTTGAAATTTCTAATTTTGCTGTTCCCTTCCCCCATGCTCGTACAAAACAAAATCTTTTAAAGAATTTTCTTTTTATAAATGCCTTGTTATTTTGTAGTAAAATAAACAAAATAATAACAAGCTATCTTGGCTATCCATTCAATATAACTATATTCAGCAAAATACCATTAATTTTTGTAAATGTTATTCATGTCATTTAATGTTGCTTCTTCCTTCTAAATTTATTTCTTATTAGTTAATACTTTCAAATTTCAGGCAATTTTCTATGGCATACTCTTGAAACTAATTCTGGCAGTATGATAACATACCATTACGAAATTTAGTGCACATATCTTTAAGTTATGTATTTTGTTAAATAAGTATAAAATACTTGAATTTATTTAAAAATATTAAGTGGATTTATTTCTTTCCTTTAGCTGCAAAATGTCTGAAAAAAAGACATTTTTTAATCCAGATTGGGCAGATTTTAATCTCAAGCTTCAGTGGAGTCCATGGTTGCAACCTATCGAAGGACCTCATAACATGGCAAGATGCACGTTTTGCCAAAAAAAATCATGCTTAGTAACATGGGAGGAAAGCAATCACAAGCCACATAAACAGTGTAAAGCATAAGAAAATCATTTCTATGAAGATGAACTCAGAAAACTTAAAAAACTGTTTCTCCATCGATAAAAACAGTTCTGAAACGCAGCAGTCTTCTGCACTAGTTGCTGAATCATCAAATTTAAACTCCTTCGTAACTAAGGACAAAGTTTTATCTGTGGAATTACTGTGGGCTATGAAACTTGTTCTTCGCGTATGATATAATGCATTTAATGATGCTGCTGTTCTGTTCCAGAAAATGTTTGATGACAGCAATAAAGCTAAAGCTATGACCCTGGGACGTACAAAAATGTCATTTTTAGTGTCATTTGGTTTAGCTCCATACTTCAAAAAGCTGCTCATTTCTGATCTTAAGAACACTGAATTTGTAATTTGCTTCGATGAAGCGTTAAATAGAATCGTCCAGAGAGGTCATATGGACCTTTTTGTTAGATTTTGGGATGGGACAGTATGCGGAAGGAAGTCAGTACAAGATACCTCACATCAATTTTTTTGGGACATGCATCTGCCAATGATGTTCTGAGAAGTTTCTTTGAGGGAACCTCAGAACTAGATAAAAAGAAATTGCTGCAAGTATTGGATGGACCAAATGTCAATCCTAAATTCCTCAGAGATTTAAAAGAAAATTTAGCAATTAATGATGCCTGCCATATATTAGATATTGGATCCTGTGGTTTGCATGTTCTTCATGGTGCCTTTAGAGCTGGTCATAAAGCTACTGACTGGATTTTAAGTGCATTATTTAAAAATATGCATAGAGTATTTAAAGACAGTCTTGCTCGGCGAGCAGATAATGTTGCCATCACTAACTGTACGACTTTTCTGCTAAAGTTTTGTGAAGTAAGATGGTGTGAAAACATACCTGTTGCTGAGAGGTCTATTGAAGCTACTTAAGCTACTTTTGGAAAAAATCTCTTTTTTATTTCTGTTTCAGGAGTTCTACATCCATTTCTAAAGTAATTTCAGACAGCTGATCCTTTGTGCTCCTTTCTATATACAACTTTCCATAGTATGCTAAGTCATCTTCTCTCCAAATTTGTAAAAAGAGATACACTGCGAGAGGCAAAAACTCTGAAAAACTGATAAAAATAGATATTCTGGATCAAAACTGTTGCAGACAGATATAGATGTGGGTATTGTTGCTGGTGCAAGTTTAGCTAAAAGTGGAGCATCTGATCTTAACAAAAGAGAATTCAGAACTCGGTGCAGAACATTTTTGGTTAAGCTTGTATCAAAAATATTTGAAAGAAGCTTATTGAAATATAGCGTAGTTAAATACATTTCTTCATTAGATCCTAAGCTCATTACGTTTAATGAATTTTTATGTGAGAAAAGGATGGAGAGGTTTTTACATGGACTGTATGAAAGTGAATGGATAAATTTCACAATTACAGATAAATCAAAAGTTCAGTTAGACTTATTATTCAGAAGTAAGGGTGTATGGAAAGAGACTTTTGTTAATTATGCTGCAATGGGGCTTGATCACTTTTATAAGGACTTGATTAATAACTCAGATTTGAAAGAACTTTGGAGTGTTATAAAACTAGTTCTAATTTTATCACATGGCAGTGACAAAGTAGAAAGTGGTTTTTTAGTTAATAACGATATGTTGGTGAAAAATCTCCAGGAAAATTCTTTAACAGCATTGCAAGCTGTTTATGATGTTATAAAAGTAAATGGAGGTGTGATGATTATTAACGTAACTCCTGATATGTTATGACATGCCATGGTGCATATCACCAAGCACTCGAAGACAAAAAACTGTGGTGATAATAAACATAAAAAAAATATTAGACAAAAGGAAAGCACAGGCACAGATTAAAATTTTGGCGTCGAAAAAACAAAAATCGAGCAGAGATGTTTCTTCAACTGACTTGCAAATTGCAGAGTTAAAACAAGAAATCTAATTTGTTGCTTATTTTTCATTAGTACTTTTTCTATTAATGTTTTGTTTAAATATATTAAATGTCTTATTTTTAATTTTAATAAAAATTTACATTTAACATATATTATGTATGCTTATATAACAGTTTTGCATCAGAAAAAAAAAATGCTTTTTTAACCTTTCAGAATTTAGCAAGTGTTGAAATATCACTGAGGTAATTGTTTGCCAATTATATATTATTTAATAGGATAGATATAAATGGGCCCCACACTGTGATATTGCATTCTTCATACTTACACCAAGTAAAATTTAACTGTAAAATCACAAAATATTAATAAGCAGCATATCTTTAAAATTTCGATAGTACATTAAGTGTTACCATAACATTTTCCCCCGCTTTAATTTGCTATGCTATTTCTTTAAAAACGAGTTGCTTGCAAGTACAGTCTCCTAAAACAGTTATTATAAAAAAGAAAAAAGGCTTGTGTCATTTCATAAAAATAATATTTCTAATTAGACATCTCATGAATTTAACGCATTTTTTTATTTAAATGAATCATATTAAATAGAATGTTCTTAAGAATTGTTTATTGCTTTTAAATATCTTAATTTGCTGCTCAGTAACCTTCCAGATTAAATTTGAAAGCTGACTATCTTAGGCTTTACTGAATGGTAACACGTTGGTGCATGGAAGATAAAAGTATTGTTCTTCTGGTAGGGCAACACACTGCTTTCAAATAACGAAGTTTTTGATTAAATTTGACAGATAATTTAATCTTACACCTTGTGTTTTATTCAAACAGTATTGCCGCTGCTGTCTTTTAAACCTGAGAGTTTGTTAATCAGAAATTCATGAAACTTGTACAAAGTATGTTTGCACAAAACCTGAAATAAATAAAAATTGTACTCAAAACATGAAGTTTGAGTTTCAAGATGCACTTGTTTGAGCGCGAGACTGCATATTCAAATTTTGGTTGATCTAAGTACACTCGTTTTTCTACATTGCGAAGAATATACATATGGATGTATAGATTATTCATTACTTAATTTCTTAAAAAGTCATAAGTTGTGGTAACATTTGGTGGGAACAATTTAAAGAGTGATATCAACCAAAAAAAGTGAGGTTCGAGACTAATAGCACCTTTGGCACTAAAAAATGTTAGAAGTTAGAATTCATGATTAGGTATTAATATATTTCACATCAGAATTATCATAGATAGTTTTATAAATAGTTGAGTAACCTAAATCATGCATTATAAAAGGAATTTATATTAATTTGGAGTTCTTTCAAAAATGGTACCACTGTACAAAGCAAAATGTACAAGAAACTTTCAATTTTGAATCCGAGAACATCCCAGTTAATATTTCAATGTTGCAGCCATGGTGTGTGTATCAGTTTTTAATTTGATTTCATTGTTTGAAGTACTAAAGATGCAAAGGTATTTAAAATACTAAAGCTGCAAAGTACTAAATTAAAAAGGTAAATAAAAGCTTTTCTGCCCTCCTCAGAATTTTTTCAATATAAAAATGTAAGAAAATAGCAAAATTAAATTAACTAAATAAAATAAAATTTAAGAACTATATTTCAGTAATAATAAATTATACATCAGAATTTCATTTTAAATAACCTAAATCATGCATTATAAAATGAATTTAAGTGAATTTAGAGTTCTTTTGAATGGTGTCAATGCACAGTGAAAATAAACTTCTGTAAACTTCATTCTTCAGGGTTGGTAGCTATGATGTAATTATTTTGGGAATTATTCCCTCAAACCAAAGCTCTTTTAAAAGGAAACATGTATATAAATAACTGTATATATATTTTTTAGGTTAATGGCATGCCAATGACTGGTAAAAGCCAAGCTGAGGCAGTCTCAGTTCTTCGTAATATACCTCTTGGTAAGACTGTGCAGTTAGTTGTGTCCCGACAAGAGTTAGAAGAATCGGAAAATGCTGAACAAGATAATGATTCAGTAAGAATTTTTAATGCTTATTTTCTGTTTGTTTCAGAGGTACGTATGTAAAGAAGAGTATAATAGAAATAATTTTAAAAGATGTGATTTCTCTTTACTTATTTAAATTTTTTAAAAATGCTATATTGTTGATTTCTTTTTTACAGCAATTATAATTTATACTCATTTTAGCGTTTTTATAAATTTCGAAGGAAATTGGTATGCTTATTATGTTTGAGTAACTAGGCAGTAATCTGTAAAGGTTCCATCCTTTAATTTTGGCACTGAAAACAAAACAAAAGAAAAAAGAAACTGATTGCAATCACGTTTAGGATTGATGTAACCTGAATATGTTCAAAATAAAACTTGTACTTCTGAAGTATTTTAAATGCTTCTTAACCTTTTAACTGTCATGTCCGAAATAATCTCGGGCGCAGCACTGGTATTCCAAAATGTTATGCCCGAATACTACTCGGGCTAATTTTTTTTTAGTGCATTGTATTGTTATACTCGAATATATATCGTGAGAAGTTTATTTCAGCTTCAATTCAACAGCTGGCGGCATTTTACTGAAGGTTTCAAAGGATAGAGGTTAAAGTTCAAAGTGCGCGGCATTTTTTTGATTTTTGACTGCGAGGCAAACATTTCATTTTTGAAATAAAAAAAAAAAAAAATTGACAATTTATGCACCCAAATCATCAAAATAACTTGACAGTTAAATGATTAAATGTCTTTAAGACTGGACACAAATTAGGCTCTATTGAAAATTAATTTTAAAAACTTAAACAATGGCTTGTTTTTCTTAAGAATAATTGATTTTAAAATTATGTTTTTCAGCATTTTTTTATTTAGGTAGCTGATGTTATGCAAATAATTCCTGGGGCATTTTGCGTGAGTTCAAAGAGATACAAAGAAAGATTGTTCAGCCATGCATCAGGACATTAAAAGAAATATTTTAAAAAATATGATTTTAAACTGCTACTTGCGATTTTCCATGAATCTCAGGAACAGTTTACATTCCTTTTTTTGATTATGTTTAATAATCAGAAAATTCCTATTACAGTGATAATAGTGTGGTGCGGAAAAAACTTTAAAAATTATCAAGTTTACATTGTAAAAGTAATTTGGCAGAGTTACTAAAAATTATACCATGCCTGTTCAAATTTTAACTGTGTTGTTATTGACATATTTATTGCGAGAGCAAAAGTAAGCATAAACTTGACAAGGAGACAGATAAATTATTTCATTGAAGTGTGTATGCAGTGATGTCTTATAACAGCTGTATTAAGAATTGGATTAAAAAAGAAAAAAATTACAGTGCATATGGTTGCAAATTAACAATGCACAGCTAACTTTTGGGGTGTCAGAAATTATTGTACAAGGTTTTCGCAGAACAGTTGTCTTAACTGTTCTAATGATCAAACATGAGGAATATTTACAGTCTCCCAAAAAATAATTGCTCTCCTAATAATAAAAGTTTTTAATTTCTTATGTATAGAGGAACTTTTACATGGAGTGTGTGAGTTTTGGGGTAACTTTCGTTGGAAGTTATTATTACGATCCCCATTTTTTAAACAGCGCCAAGATTATTGGTAAATTGCCAGTGCAAAACATATTCAAATAGCTGGCAGTCTCAACAACGATCATTTATAGATTGCTCATGGTGAGAGCACAGTAAACCATATGTTATGGTATTTTCTTTTTCAAAAACATTTTTTCATATAAATGTTCACAATCACTCCTAATTCTCTTATTGCAAGAAGAGCTTTGAGTATTCCACATGCTAATATAATTTCATTTAAAAAAAAAAAAAATGTTGAAAAATATTTGATTTACTGATAAGTGTGAAAGACATTATAAATTTTTCCAAGAAAGTTGCATGTGCGAAAATGACCATTAACCAGCAAATCATACAGGCATGCTAAATCATATATTAGCTGGAAGTGTATGCATATTGTCTCTATGTTACAGAGAGTTCAAGAGCACTTTACAGATAAAATTATGTGTAGCCACTGAGAGCAGATATTTTGAACAAATGTTATCTAAAATTATTTTATTAGTAGAACCTTTGTTAGAATTTCTTATTTTGTGTTTTTCTTAATTTTGGCATAAACTGTCTTTTGTGTCATGAATTATTCCTTTTCTGTTTTTTGTCATTCTGTGGTACTGAATGAATTTTAAGATTGATTTCTTTGTGTCTGTTTTTCATGTCATATCTGCAGTAGCTAAGAGAGTTATTTCCAATATTTTCTGAAATGCTTTTTTTTATTTTGGTTATTAAAAAATTGTAATTCCATCTTTAATTTCCTTTCCTGTGCAAAAGAATAGACAGATTGATTCTTTTCTTTATAGAACTATTTTACAATGGACTCTTGCTGTTTACATCTGTGCTAAAAATTAAGATTTCTAAATTTTGTACTGATCAAAATTTTTCATGATAATCTGTATATCAATACTTAGTAAACACCAGAGATCTTTTCATAAGCCTAATATTTATATGAATGAGTTAAATATGAATTTAGATATTGGTCTCTTGAATTTGCATGACCTTCGAGTTTTCAAGAAAAGTGATGTCAGTCTTTAAAAATGAAACTAAAGCGAGTGTAACATTTTCCTAAATATAAGTATAGAGACAAGGGGGATGTATGAAAAGTTAAACTTTTGTAAATGGAACTGTATGTCTGAGCAACAGTTAAAAAAATAAAGACCAGGTAAGAATTATTGTGGACATTGTGTGTATTTATTCATGCTTACATTAATACAGGATGACCATAATTTAATCACCGGGTAAAAAATTTAAAGTGAACATGATTTTATAAACTAACGGGAAATAATTTATACTGATATAATCATTAGCTCAAGAAATTTACGTTTCTTCGAATTTTTAGGGGTGTCAGTAGGAAACTTGCATCAGGCATTCAAAAAGCTATGTTAGTTTTCTGGTTATAGATAATGAAATCTCTAAAAATAGTTTAAAGGCAATTTCAACAGTTTCAAGAGATTGGACAGGTTCTGCATAAAAGAAGTGTAGGTACACCAAGCATCAGTGATAAAAATGTTTCTGCAATTTAAGATGCATTTGTGTGCAGTCTTAGGAAATCCATTCATCATACAGCCTACAAACAGGAATTTTCAGGTCAACTATTCATAAAGTTGTTCGTGAACGCTTAAACATGACTGCATATAAATGGCAGATTTTTCCAACAAATCAAACATAATGATTTAATCATCCATAAAAAACTTTTTATCAACATTCTTGACCGTATCAATAATGGTGATCATTTCTCCAGAAAATCGTATTCAGTGATGAAGCAACATTTCGTGTTTGAAGAGAGTTCATTTGACATAGCTGGAGGATTTGAATGTCCAAAAACCGTCATTTTGTTAAAGAAATTGAGAGAGGTATACCTTAAGTTAATGTGTCATATGTGCTAACTTATAACTAAATGATTGATTTCTTCTTTTTCTGAGAGTCATTAGTTCATTCAGAAGATTACTTCAATATGCTTAGATTATTTTCGGTACCACGATTAGAAGAAATGCAGCCAAAACTTTTTTTCCAACAGGATGTGGCCCTGTCATCGGACTACAAATGTGTATATGTTTCTAGATGAAACATTCCCAGATTCTTGAATTGGTAGAGGTAGACCAGCTGCATGTCCACCCAATTCTCCAGACGTCGCACCACTCAGCTTCTTTTTCTGGGGATATCTGAAGAACCGAGTTTATGCTGCAGAGATTCGCAGCATCAAAGAATTCAAAAATCAAATCACCACAGAAACAGCTACTCCGCGAATGTTTAATAACCTCTGGAAGGAAATCATGAACAGGCTTCTCTGAGCAACTAATGGTGCTCATATTGTAGTTATATACAATTCAGTCAGTCTTTTTTTCCCTATCTCTTATTCTGTATTATTTAAAACATGTCTTTACCCTGTGGATAAATTGTGAACACTGTGTATGATTAACAGATTTTATTTGTTGCTTTTCTTTGTGTGCTAATTATAAGGCATATGTGTGTCATTTAAATAAGTTATGCATATATTGTTGAAAAATAAATTATACATGTATTGTTTAAATAAGTTGTAAAAAAAATTATATATATTAAATAGTAATTTTTTACCTAGTTGTTATCGTTAAGAAATATGATATTTGTTAAAAGTATTCTTTGAAGTTTTTTATAGTAATATGCATTTGCAATTTTTTTTTAAGTCATCAAAATTAGATGAAGAAGCTGGCATATTCCCCTGGAAGCACAGAGAAATTCTGACATTCCAAATTCCGTTGACTGATTCTCATTCAGCAGGTCTTGGTGTTAGTGTAAAAGGTAAAAGTACTTCCACTGCCAGTGGCTCAGTGGATCTTGGTATCTTCATTAAATCTGTCATTCCTGGTGGAGCTGCTTCAAAGGTAGACTTTCTTTTGAATAATTTGAACTGTTAGCAAAGATATCATGATTTAAAATTAAAAATTTATTCGAAATCTCTGAATTTTTTACCAAGTTCTTCTTCATTGTCTTCTATACTTGATGTGAATTTGAAAGTTTTCATAAGTTCAGAAATTTCTAAAATTATGAAATCAAAATTATATAATAGCATCTAAAAAATTATTGATGAAATTACAAGTGCACGTACTCAGTTTTGGTTATTGATGCATATGGTTCTTGGTTCTTAATCTTTTCAAAGTCGGGCAACCCTAAGCTCTGAAGTTTTTTTCTCATAGCACTTACAGTACAATGTAAGCTTTAACGTTCTCGCTGCGTGTCCCTCGATTTCCACATGCAACATAGAAGTAGCAAAATTTGCATAACCCGCGACTTCCGTGGAAACGAATTTTTCCTATCTTATCTAAATGTGGAACCCGCTCTTTTCCTGTTCATGGTTTTATTTCAGCTCTTATGTGATGTTTAATTGTTTATTCAGACCTGGGTAAACAGATGTCATCATCTGTCGATATTTCTGCGAAATATGCAAGCATTTCACATGCTTTTCAAAACTTGAAGATGTCTGTACTTCAACTCTCAATTCGATGAGACTAACTGCTTGACATTTTGCTAACCATATACCCCATCCTCCATCAGTAAAGAGCCTTGTAGTTTAATAAGGATAATTAAAAGATAATTGAATTATTATCTTTGCTGCTAAAAAAACTGAAACTGTCAAAAACATTTCGCAAAGAAACGCGAATTTGAGGCAAAGATTGCAAGGTAGAGTTTCGCCTCGAGCCTTGTTTTGAAGTTTATCATATTGAACTTCTTTTCTGATAAGTGTTTTGTAAGCATTGCATACTTTTAGTAGTGTATAAGTTTTTCCTTTGTATTTCATAAAATAAATCATAATTTAACCTAGATTAATTTTCCTTTTATGTGCTTATTCCTCAATCTCAGTTTTCCAGCAACCTTTATTTATGTTCTGAATCTATATTTGAAAAAAAAAAAAAAAAACTTTTACAAACATTTTTTGTGTATATTTTAACTCTAAAATATATAGATTTGAAATATGTAATAAAAAAATATTCAATTTTTAACCTATTTTGATTTTAAAATAAGTTACACAGCGAGAGGGTTAAAGCAGTGGTGGCCAAGTTATTTGAAAAAAGAGTGCAAAGAAAAAAAAGGAAGATTGCTCCAAAAAATAGCTTTATTATCATTATCATTCAGAAGGGAAAAAACATTGTTGAATGCCTTGCAGATGCAGGGTTAGCCACCCCTGCTTCAGAGTATTACTTTTGTAAAAGAATAAATTAGTGATATTGATCCCTGCAGGCATATTTAGTTCAAAATCATTTAAAAGTAAATACTCAGATTTAATGCGATGTATGAACTTGGTGATAATCTTTTTGGATTTTAGCAATATTTGAACAAATAAACAATAAAGCCGCTCACATCTCCTAAGTTTTGCTCCCTCTTGCATTCGTTTGTTGTAAAAAACCTTGCTTTACAAAGATACATAAAAAATAATAATAACGTGTTTAATTGCCATTTTGCTAGACCCTGATATTTGTCTTTAGTAAAGATCCATAATTTTGGTATATTTTCAATGAACATAAAATTTAACCCACGATCTGAAGAAAATGACTTTGGTTGTTTTTTTTTCATTCAAAGTAAAACTGGAGAAGTCAATAAAAGCAAGTAAATAGATTTCTTATCTGTTTGAACCGTTCAGCATTCCACACTGAAAGATATTTTTCAAAAGTTTGTTGCTGTATGTTTGATTATTAAAAAAATGATTACCTCATTTGTATCATGCTTAGCAGAAAACATTTCTGCTTTTCTTTCTCTTGCATGTTTTCCATAATATTTTTATTGCACATAATTTCTCAGTCGGTGTAAGAATGTTTTTGTTGTTTCTTTGCATACATAGATTGATAGTATTAAAGTAAGCAGACATCAGTCAAATACACCATTTATTGCTTTTTAGATAGTTTGTTGAAGTCTTCCAATCTTCCCCCTGAATAAAAGCAGTAATTCATTATAACACGCAATTAAAAACCTTTCCATGTAACAACCACCTCGTTTCTGTATGAAGAAGTAAATGTTAATAGTCTATAGTTGAACAGTTTAAAAATTTGGCTTTCCATTGGTCTCATTTTAATAAAACTAACAGTGGAAATTCTTTGATCCAACACGTCTTAAGTTTCTTAGGCATTATCTTCATGATAAGTACTTCTGAATGCAAGAAACAGTGGTGAAATATTATATTTGGATTGATTGTTTTTGCTGAAGGTAAATCCTTTGGCTGATCCCATGATAGATATTACTTTTTCAGTACAAATACTAACACATTGATCCCATGATAATTTTAGTGTATTCAAGCATGATGTTATCAGGTCATCAATAAAGTCCTAATTAATATTGTACAAACCAAAAGGTCTTCACAGCATAAAAATGGAATTATTATCTTTTGTTCATAAATTAATTATACAAAGCCATTGTAAGATGTGCTGTGCCACTTATCTGTTGATCCATCTGCTATAATACAAGGGGCATGCTAGCAAGTTCACCTGCAACTGCTTTCCTAATAGGTAGGATGTATCATTAGTTTTTTTTTATGTGTATTCTGTTGTTAAGTACCAGAGTCTTCATAATTTTTTCTTTGTTTCTTTCTCAAATGTAATTGTCACAATTTCATTACAGACTGGTAGAATGAGAGATTCTGCTATGGTATGTGGTTTTAATTTGAAAGCTACTAACTCAGCAGTTTTATCTGACACAAGTTCAGCTTTATCACATATTTTCATTATTGTTCCAAATTATCATCTTTGTGTACCATGCACTGCCGAAAACCTTTCGAAGAATTCTTTTTTTCTTTCTTCTTCTTTTTTTTTTTCCCTCTCTCTCTCTGTCTTTTTAGTCCAAAGGGATTTGAATCCCGAAGGACTATTAGTTTCGTTTTGGCATTTTGCGTCGGACTCATAAATGTCGGTTCACTTTTCAAACTGTTGCCACAAAATGTTAGAGTCCTGCATTATATTTGAAGAAATTAAATAATGAAAAATCTGCATAAATGTATGTATATTTCTCGTATTGTGATAAAACAACGGTACATAGAGTCATCGAATTTTGAATAACGTAATCCTCCCACGAATATGAGCATGTGGAAAGACCAAATTTGAAATTTGTTTTATGATCGATTTCCTATTTTTTAAAACTTTGACGAATTTTTGATTAACAAACTCAAGGATTTCAAAGCGAGCAATGGCAACGTTGTGCAGAAAAACATTTTTATCTCCTGCGCGTGAGTCTCTGTATCGGAAATTCTAAAGATATGCTCGTTTTAAAACTATTTTGCGATATTGCTGTTGCACTGGATCTTATGGTTTAAGTGCGAGGAACATGATATTTAATAAAGAAAGGTAACACACACAAATGTTAAAAACGCCCCTTTGGACGTAATTTAAAATCTGAAACATTTCAGATTTTTTTTTTTTTTTTTTTTTGTCAAAGATTTAATTTTTGCTATTGAAAAATATTAACTTAGTGGGTACCGTATTGCTATTGACAAGCTTGTGTCCACATTCATCAGAGGGAGAAGTGGGTCAATCTATACCTTTGGTGCAGGTTTATCTGAATTTTAAGTATTCTTCATAATACAAGAAATTGACATTTTGAGCTAATTTCACAATTTTTATCTCTTCTGCATCGTTTTCATTTATCTACTTCTAGCAGTAACATTATCATCATTGACATAAAAATGTCATTTCTCTATGGTGAAATAATGCATTAGCTGTAATAAAAAATATTTTATAAAAATATAAATTTAATTGATAATATGTTCCAGAATTTACATAAACTAGTTTAATTCAAAAAATCAAACTGATGCATTGCTGGAAATCAACAATGCATCAGTTTGATTAGTAACCACGTCAGCTGCTCAGAATTCAAATGTGAGCTAAATGACACGCAATGTATAACACTGTAAAATTGAAATCTAATTGTTTTACCAGCAATTAAAAGGTTCTGTTTGTTAAGTGGAAATGTATGGCACTGTTAACTCAATATTCGGAATAGATCCTTGTCTCATTAACTATTTCATACTCTTTCCTATACCGTTTCCTTATCAAGCCCTTTTTATTTTGATTTCACATTTTCCTATGTCTAATACTTTAATGCTATCAATCAACCTACAGCTGATCTTCTCAGATGCCAGCGAATCTATCCTTCCTCTGACAATCACCGTGATGTATTTTCTTAGTTTCCTATACCTTGATCTAGTTATGTAACATCATGTTTTCATAACTATTTTAGGTGAGTATTAAGTTTATGGTACCATATGTATAACTAAAAATAGCTGATTATTATACCGTAAAAAATTATGTTACATTGTACTGATGTTTTCAAGCATCAATTTTCAATTATGCATTTAATTTTTTTGCTGACCATTTGAAGTAGCTTTATGTAGTACCAGTGCACTATGGATTGGGAGCCACAGTGCTATACTAAGAACAGTACACTAGTGAATGATTAACTGATAGGGATTATAAAAAGCACAGGATAATACTTAATGTGTGAATAGCAATCCACATATGATAAACATGTTTATCATCCCATTTCTCTGTCAAAATCTTTTTCATTTGCAAGCATGATGAAAAAGACGGAAGTTGACGTAACCTAGAAGTTACCTTCTCAATGAATAATGCCATTTTGGCTAAATGAGGACAATGTGAACCCCCCCTTTTTTTATAAACTTTTATAACTGTATTTTATGAAACACAATGAAATAATATGGGTAAAATGTGTTACAGTTCTGTCTTCTAAGAAATAAGAATTGATACAGGTGTACTTTATGTGCTTGGTACATGTAAATGTGGGACTGTCGAATTAACTTATATATTGTGGCTGCGCAAGCAATAAAAGACTGAAGGGGAATGTAGTTGTTCAGACCATCTGGGACCTTTCATTATTTAAACCA